TTTTATTTGTGATATTTGTTGATTAATTAAGGTAATAATAATAATAATAATAACAATAAAGGCTGTTGTTATTATTATTATTATTATTATTATTATTATTTTTATTATTATAATTATTATTATTATTATCATTATTATTCTCGCTTATTGTCATGTAGAGTCTCTCTCTCTCACCTGTCAGAGATAAAACCACAAGAAACAGACAGGTATATTATTAGCCAGGTAGATAACGGTTCACAGGTGTCTCTTGATAACAGTGTCACTATTATGATGCTGATATATAGGATGAATATACACCACTACGGTAACTATCATCACTATCACACACCAATACTGTAACTATCATCGCTATCACACACCACTACTGTCACTATCATCGCTATCACACACCACTACTGTAACTATCATCACTATCACACACCACTACTGTCACTATCGTCACTATCACACACCACTACTGTAACTATCATCACTATCACACACCACTACTGTAACTATCATCGCTATCACACACCACTACTGTCATTATCATCGCTATCACACACCACTACTGTAACTATCATCACTATCACACACCACTACTGTCACTATCGTCACTATCACACACCACTACTGTAACTATCAAAACTATCACACACCACTACTGTAACTATCATCGCTATCACACACCACTACCGTCACTATCATCACTATCAATAACCACCAACGTCACCATCATCGCCATCAACAACAACTACGTCACCATCATCGCCATCACAATAACCACCACCAACCATCATCGCCATCAACCACCACCGTCACCATCATCACCATCAACAACAACCACCGTCACCACCATCCAACACCACCACCGTCACCACATCGCCATCAACCACCACTGTAACCATCATCGCCATCACAAACAACCAAACCGTCACCATCATCACCATCACACACCACCACCGTAACCATCACCGCCATCACCACACCACCGTAACCATCACCACCATCACACACCAACCACCGTCACTCATCGTCACCATCACACACCACCACCCAACATCACCACACAAAAACACCACCGTCAAAAATCATCGCCATCACACACCACCACCGCAACCATCACACAACACACACCACTACCGCAACTATCAACTATCAACACACACCACCACGTCACCATCATCACCATCACCACACACCACCACTGTCACCACAATCATCCCATCACACACCAACCACCGTAACCATAATCACCATCACACACCACCACTGTAACCATCAACGCCATCACAAAACCACCAATAACCATCACCACCATCAACACACCACTACCGTAACCATCATCGCTATCACACAACCACTCGTCACCATCATCACTATCAACACCAATTACCGTAACCATCATCACTATCACACCACTACCGAAACCATCATCGCCATCACACCACCACCGTCACTATCATCACCATCACACACCACCACTGTCACCATCATCGCCATCATTCACCACTCAACTACATCACCATCACACACCACACCACACACCACAACAACACCACCGTCACCATCATCACCATCACAATAACCAATCACCGTAACCATCATCGCCATCACACACCACTACCGTCACCATCATCACTATCACACACCACCACCGTAACCATCATCCAACACCACACACACAACACACACCACACCAACACACCAATCACACACCACCACCGTCACCATCAACACCATCACAAAACCACCACTGTAACCACTAATACCATCACACACCACCACCGTCACTCATCACCATCACACACCACCACCGTAACCATCATCACCATCACACACCACCACTGTAACCATCATCGCCATCACACACCACCACCGTCACCATCATCACCATCACACACCAACCACCGTAACCATCATCGCCATCACACACCACCACCGTAATTATCATCACCATCACACGCCACTGCTGTAACTACCACCAATCACACACCACTACCGTCACCATCACCACCACCATTCGTCACCATCAAACCACCACTGTCACTCATCACAACCACCTACCGTCACCATCACCACCACCACTGTCACCATCACCACCACCACTGTCACCATCACCACCACCATCACTATCACCACCACAACTGTCATTATCACCACCACCACCGTCACTATCACCACCACTACTATCACTATCACCACCCCATACCACCACCACTACTCATTATCACCACCACAACTTCACTATCACCACTAATATTGTCACTATCACCACCACTTTGTCAGCACCACCACCACCACTACTCCTCTCCTATCAGGTTGAAGAGATAAATCGATCTGTTTTGATTTACTAACCTGTGTGTGTGTGTGTGTGTGTGTGTGTGTGTGTGTGTGTGTGTGTGTGTGTGTGTGTGTGTGTGTGTGTGTGTGTGTGTGTCACCTGTGTTTTAACCTTGTTATCTTCCACGTGCCGTTTGTCTATCTGGTGAAACTACTCAGGTGATCTGAAACGTTCCTTAAAAATATTTCACAGGAGGTGAGAGAACGTACTAACAGGTTCGAGAACGTATCTAACAGGAGGTGAGAGAACGTATCTAACAGAGAAGAGAACGACCTAACAGGAGGTAAGAGAACGCATCTAACAGGAGGTAAGAGAACGCATCTAACAGGGAGGTAAGAGAACGCATCTAACAGGAGGTAAGAGAACGCATCTAACAGGAGGTAAGAGAACGCATCTAACAGGAGGTAAGAGAGTATCTAATAGGAGGTAAGAGAACGTACCAACAGAGGTAAGAGAACGCATCTAACAGGAGTAGAGAACGCATCTAACAGGAGGTAAGAGAACGCATCTAACAGGAGGTAAGAGAACGCATCTAACAGGAGGTGAGAGAACGCATTCAACAGGAGGTAAGAGAACGTACCCAACAGGAGGTGAGAGAACGACTCAACATGAGGGGAGAGAACGCATCTAACAGAGGTAAGAGAACGCATCTAACAGGAGGTGAGAGCGCATAACAGAGGTGAGAAGAGAACGCATCTAACAGGAGGTAAGAGAACGCATCTAACAGGAGGTAAGAGAACGCATCTAACATGAGGTGAGAGAACGCATCTAACAGGAGGTAAGAGAACGGATCTAACAGGAGGTAAGAGAACGCATCTAACAGGAGGTAAGAGAACGCATCTAACAGGAGGTAAGAGAACGCAGGAGGTAAGAGAACGCATCTAACAGGAGGTAAGAGAACGCATCTAACAGGAGGTAAGAGAACGCATCTAACAGGAGTAGAGAACGCATCTAACATGAGGTGAGAGAACGCATCTAACAGGAGGTAAGAGAACGCATCTAACAGGAGGTAAGAGAACGTATCTAACAGGAGGTAAGAGAACGCATCTAACATGAGGTGAGAGCATCAAACAGGAAGAGACGCATCTAACAGGTAAGAGAACGTATCAACAGGTAAAGAAACGTATCTAACATGAGTGAGAGAACGCATCTAACATGGTGAGAGAACGTATCTAACATGAGGTGAGAGAACGCATCTAACAGGAAAGATTGGAGGTAAGAGAACGCCTAACAGGAGGTAAAGAACGCATCTAACAGAGGTGAGAGAACGCATCTATGCAGGTGAAACGTATCTAACAGGAGTGAGAGAACGCATCTAACAGGGTGAGAGAACGTATCTAACAGGAGGTAGAGAACGTATCTAACAGGAGGTAAGAGACGCATCTAACAGGAGTGAAACGCATCTAACAGGGGTGAGAGAACGTATCTAACAGGAGGTGAGAGAACGCATCCAAGGGTGAGAGACGCATCTAACAGGGTGAGAGAAATATCTAACAGAGTGAGAGAACGTATCTAACAGGGAAGTGAGAGAACGTATCTAACAGGGTGAGAGAACGCATCTAACAGAAGTGAGAAAACGCATCTAACAGGTTGAGAGAACGTATCTAACAGGAGGTGAGAGAACGCATCTAACAGGGTGAGAAACTATAACAGGAGTGAGAGAAAGTATCTAACAGGAGGTGAGAGAACGATCTAACAGGAGTGAGAGAGCATATCTAACAGGAGGTGAGAGAATGCATCTAACAGGGTGAGAGAACGCATCTAACAGTAGAACAACAAACATGATGCCTCATGACCAGGTCTAGACGTCTGTATGAGGAACCAATTTTCCTTAGCCGTCGGGTACTTGATGACGGCAGTTGATATAGTAAGTATGCATTAAAAATTAGAAGCTATGTGTGGAACGGTCACCTAGGCGTATTTCATGTCTCAACGCACACACACACACACACACACACACACATACACAAACACACACACACACACACACACACACAGGCACTAAGGCAAGACAAACAAACAACGAGCCACGCGTCTTCCCCGCCACTGGCCGCGAACAAACACGAAACTTGGAAGGTTGAGCTTGAACTCTCAGTCACTGCTTGACCCTCACCACCACACACTGAGTCATGCCCCACCTAACTCTCCTCTCCAGCCCTTTAGACATCCTTACCATCTTCCTCCCTCAAGAAAAAAAACCCTCGAAAAACAATTCCATTTCTCTCGTGTTAAGGGACGTGCTTCTGGTTATGGAATTTTGGAGGTCAAGGAGAAAAACTGTTTGAGTGGTAAGAAAAAGGTCACTTGTGTCACCAGAGCTCCGGTGTCGGTTCTGTGACTTAACTCACCGCACGAGAGAGTTTGTTTACCACGAGCTTGTTTAAACCCTACGTGATTGGTAGCTGTACCGTCCAGGAGCTCCTCCCCCACACAATGACGAGTTCCCATATTTATAAAGATATTTGTTTTATCTACAGTTTATTTGTTTCTTTCCATAAAATATATATGTAATGTTCGTAGGAGGTAAAGAATATATGTAATTAATATGTAATAATATTAAATAGCTTGTACAAGTAACTGAACATAAAAGTGCAATGTAGTTCAACGCGTGACGCTGATTGACGAGCGTGCGTATAACCTGTTACGGCACACGAGGAGCCTTCGTCAGTCATACGCGGGATGTTACCAGAGAAAGACATACAACCACTTTCGGAGAGTTCAGTGGGTAGAAGTCTTGTATGATGTTGAACTTACTTATTACAAGTGCAGTACCATTTGGCTCACGAACCATGAACGAAAGTGACTGTTTCTTCAGTGGCGAATACATGACAGCTGAAGATATTCGCTGGGAGAACTTCCATCATCGCAACGGTGAGTAAAAATTGTTGAATATAAATTGTAATTTTCTTTTTTTTTAGTGGTAATGGGTCAAGTGTGTTAGTGTGTAATGAAGTGAGACCTAATTCTTTGATATTACGACTTGAAGCTGAGTTTAGTGTTTCATAAATGCGCATAGAGAAGAGCTTTGGGGTTTAGTGTTGTGAATTGACTTGTGAAAATGACCAAACTACAGGTGTAAGCACTGAAGGGCGGAAAGCGATGACCGTAGAGTTTATACCGTGTGAGATACCTGGTTTTACTGTATTTCTGGTAGTGGTTAGGTTAGGTTATAATTATTTGGCTGTTATTTCATTATTGTTTAATTTACATAACGGTGAACTTACTGCATTAGATAAAGATTGATAACTGTCTCGAGTCATTTAGAGAAGCAAGTTATCTCGTAAAACATCAATATATATTTTGATACGCGACGCTCTTTAACTCACGAAACACGTATATTGTATTAGAAATGTACTAACTTTGGAATTAGAGTACAAGATCATTGGGTAAAGTGCACATTATGTACAGTACATCTGAGAGAAAGTATTGTACTCACGGAAATTAATACTTTTACCGTTCTAAAATTTTCGTATTCTGAGTCATGTTGATGTGGAACCATAAGTTTGTTCACTGTATCAGGACTTGTAATTATACTATCACCTGTAATTAGCACTTGTACCTGTAATTTTCACCTGTACTTGAATTTTACACTTGTACCTCCTGCACCTGTTTTTGTAATTTACATCTGAAACCGTCTTTACAAACTTAGTATTTGTGTCTCCGAGTTGTGTGTCTGCCTCTGCCTAGTGCTCGAGAATAGATGAGCCATAGTTAACATTACGATACTGAAGGAGTGGTACTGGGTGAAGGGACGCGGAGGTGTTCAGACGCGTGGCTCACTCGTGCCTATACACGCGCTTCCTCTCTCTCTCTCTCTTCTTCACACTCTCTTTCATCTCTCTCTCTCTCGCCCTGACCTTTGTTGACCTAGTGTCCGCACGCTGCACCTACCACCACTATACCAGCTGTTGTTCCTCTACCACTACTACCACAATTTACCACTACTACCACCATTTACCACTACTACCACCATTTACCACTTTTACCACCACCATCTGTTCTTGGGGAAAAATGTAGATGAAGACCGCAAGATGTCAGTTTTCCTAGTGTCGTAACATCCCCCATTATAGTGACGGTGGTGTCTGGTGCAGGGAGGGAGAGGGGGGAAGTGTCATGTCCGTTTGAGGTAGGGATATAATGAAGGTATTTAGGTCAGATATGGTGATGGTGGTGTAGGTGAACCTGGAGACACGATGGTGACTTATGTTCAGTGTTGATGGTGACGTATACCAAGCCTCAATAGTTAATAAGTGGGTTTAACTTTTTCCTGAAGAGAGAATTATAAGGCTCTGCGACACACACACACACACACACACACATTACGTACACAAAGCACAAAGAAACTATTTAGTCACTTGCTGTCCTGCCAAGATTAAGGAGACTTAACTTGTGAAATGAAAGAGAGAGAGAGAGAGAGAGGAGAGAGCCAGTAGTCCACGTGTCTGTGTAGTGTTTGACTGGCTGGCTCACCCATGCTTCTCCTCCTCCCTCCCTCCAGTAACCTTGAAGGGAGTCTCGCTACTGAAGGAGGCTGGGGGAAGGAGGAGGAGGAGGGTGCTTGGTGGAGAGAAAGAGGGAGATAAGAAAACGAGACTGAGAGAGAGATAGAGAGAATATCACTGTTCATTGTTGTAAATTACCATCAATAAGAAAGGTATATTCATAGCCCCATATACAAGTAAGATACGTGGGCGCTCTCTCTCTCTCTCTCTCAGACATTTAATATTTTCTCTGTCTCCGTTGCGTGTTATTAGCGTGTGTATGTGTGTGTAATAAAGGGGAAAGATGTTTGGATGTTTTCTTTATAAAGCTGTATGATCAACCCACACACACACTTGTCCACGAGGCTAAATTCAGGGGAAGTTCACTATCAATCTCTCTCACTATCTCACTTAGTCACTCTAGTTAGCGTCTGTCACCATCACCACACCTCACTTTCACCATCAGTGAGTAATTGAGATGAATGTGGGTATAAAAAAAAACTGAAGTCTACCTCACCAAGTTATCACCATGGTTATTGTGTGTGTTCGTCTTGGCTACTGGGGAGGAATTAGTGATGAAGGGAGGGAGAAGAAGAGAGAGAGATAATAAGGATGGAGAAAGAGAAATAATTAACGAAAGAGATGGAAAAGGGAAAATTGATTGTGTGTATGTCGTTGTTTAGTCACGTCATTAAGGAAGTGCGTAGTTCATCCTGTCGAAAGAAAATATTCTAACCACGCATCATTAAGAGAGGAGATGACCGTGTGAGTGTGAGTCATCAATGTAGCAGCGACTTAGAAATACTTGTGTGTTATTGTGATTAAGATTTTGGAATAAGAGAGAGAGAGAGGGGGGGGGGAATGAAGAAGATAAGCATGTTGGTTGGTTGGTGAGAGGTGGTGGGTGAGGTTGAGTGGCACTGAAGGGTGGCCTGCTCACCCCCCAACTCCCTCCCCCTTCTCCCCATGTCTTTTTATCAGGGTGCCACTGCCGCCGCACAGTCGTACAGGCACCACCACCACTACTACCACACCCACCACCATCACTACAACTCACCGTCACCACCACCACTACTATTTTTCATCGCCACCACTATTACCACTATCTACTACCACCGACCACCACTATCCATCACCACTACTACCACCATCACCACTACTACCACCATCACCACTACTACCACCATCACCGCGCCAACAGTATCACAACTCAGTGCCTCGTTAAGGCTTATCTCCGGGTTGCTTTACACTGATAACAAGCCCGCAACATAACTAGTATTTATTTCATCAGATTATTATGGAGGAGAGAGAGAGAGAGAGAGAGAGAGAGAGAGAGAGAAGGCTATCTCACACACACACACACACACACACACACACACACACGGAGATGAACTGGTACAAAACAAAATCAGTTATTGTTTTGTTTTTTTAACCTCGTGACTGTCAGAGCGTGGAAGTGTTGACCTTTGACCCAAAAACATCACAAGATTATATACTGTGAATAAAGCGAGTTACTCTTCCTTGTGTATTGTGTCAAGGAACTCAAGGTGGGTGAGAATTTCCTGCGTTGGTGTGTTTGGTTTACTGTTTTCCTTGCTGAGAGAGTGAGAGAGAGAGGGGGGGGGAGAGTGAGAGAGATTGAGAGAGAGATAATAAAATCGTAATTCAAGTCCACAGTTGTTCAGTGTGTATATAATCAGTGTAGTTATACGTATGACGGTAAACAGTAAGATGATGATAATTTTATGTTGTAATTATAGGGTAAGAGGAAGCTTATTAGGGTTTCTAATTATAGGGACAGATAATAATTATAGTTTCTAGTTGTTATATTAACCAGGGAGAAAGTTATTAATATTTTCTAACTGTAGTTATAGTAACGGGGAACTAATAGCTGTTGTAGTCCGGCTAAACGGACACTAACTAGCCCCTCCCCCAGCCAGGAGTGTTAACAGTACTAACCCTGCGGTAATGTCTCCACCATCAGGACTGCCTCTGCCTGACGTCATCATCAGCAACACGCCTCCGTCACCCCTTCGACGGACACGCTCCTACCACTTCCTCTTCCCTGAGAAACCCTCGCGCGTCCAAATCACACCCACACTCCCTCCACCATCCCTTGACACGCCCCCAGCCACGCCTGCAGATACCCTGGAGGTCGGCAGGGGCTCCCATACCCGCCGCCTCCATGGGAAGGCTGGGGACGGAGGAGGAGGAGGACGCCATCCAGACAGGGTTAGATCACATACAAGAGGTGAGACGCAGGCTACCACCCCGCCCCCAAGTTGGTCCTCATCTCAACCTTCCCCAGCTCTCCTGGTCCTCCCCAGCGCCTTCGTCAGCAGCGAGGGGAGAGGATGGGAGAACAGCAGCCAGGAGAGGGGGAAGAAACCAGGAAGAGAGGGAGAATGCCCAGGAGAGGGAGAGGAAGTGTCGCGTAAAATAGGGAAAGACCTACGCAAAATCGCTGATGAGTTCCAAGTCAACAATGCCAGGGTAAGTACAATGTAATTATAATCATTAATGGTAGTTACTATGATTGTGTAGTGTATATATGTATTGTTATTATTAAGACAAGTAAGTAATCTTAGCTCCTCGTCGTTATATTACTTGACCTTTGACCCCATGACTGCATAACACATGGAATATGTCATAAGTTACTGGGTTGTTTGGTCATGGTAGGACAAATTAACCTTGACCCTTGTGACCAAGTGAGATAAGGTCAAGTACGTGACCTCACAACTGCTACATAAAGGTTATCTGAGGTCAAACGCTGACAAGTGTGACAGACAAACAAACAGAGGAGAGAAGACAACAAAATTAGCTGATAGACAGATGGAGATATAGAAAGACAAATTGATTGACAGATAGACAGGAGAAAGACAAGTTGATTGACAGATAGATGAAACAGAGACAAACAACCAAATTGACAGGTAAACAAGAACACGATCTACAAATTGACAGGTAGACAAAAGATAAACAAACGAAGTGACAGGTGAAGTGGACAGTGACAAACACTCAGACAACAAGTGACCATCTCCAGCTGACGGATAGGAAGTATTAGCAGTGTCAGCTCATCAGAGTAGCACGTGCTTGTGTTTATCCCAGCACGTGAGGGGGGGGGGGAGAGGTCACCTGTGTTAATTGACACCCCATCACACCTGTGTATTACCGGGAAGGTGAGATTGGGAGAGAGGGAGAAGAGAGAGAGAATGGAAGAGAGAAAGAAGAGATAGAAAGAGAGCGAGAAGAAAGAAGAGAGAGAAAGAGAGCGAGAAGAAAGAAGAGAGAGAAAGATAACCCAACCTACTCAATCTGATAACACCTACAAGATAACTCAATAACGAAACGAAATTGTAGTTATCATAATCACAACAGAAATACAATAATCCAGTGTTATCGTCTGTTATCTTAAGAGTAAGGATGATAAAGAGACTCACTCCCCCCACCCACACACCCTCACTCCCCCTCTTCACTTCCCCCCCTCCACCAGATAACGTCACGCAAGGGGCGAGGTGATGCTTACGAGTGAGCACCGGATTATCGAGTAGGGAGGAGGTAATAATTCAACCATTCACAGATAATCGGTAGTTAATCTCATAATTATAATATGGTAACGAGACCCACGTGCGCTTGTTACACCTACCAGCTTACGATGGTCACCTGGACGCTAAATGGTTGTTAGAGTAGTAATTGCCAAAAGTGATTAAGTGAGCAGTATTTATATCGTTTGTTATTATTTTTTTATATAACTTAATTTCACCCAAAAGAGAACTTACATACATACATAACAATACATATATACATACATACATACATACAAGTTGCCTGTAGTATATAATGACAAGTTCCAATGATCTCATTACACTGACGATATCCACTGTCTTCTTCCTATGGATCACTTCTGCGCCTCCTTCATTAGGCTGAATTGTCTCATTTCGTCTTCAGGATGTTGGCCTCTCTTTGGTTCTCCCCAGACTTGCCGTTGACAGGTAATCTGCAGGAGATTGAGTTTTATATCTCTGTGGTGGGGCCTCAAGCTGTATGAGTCCCCCCAAAACCTTCCTTCTTTATAAAGTGAAGGACCTGTCGTTCTTCACCTGCTGCTGCTGCTCTTCGGCAAATTCCATTTATTGAGATCTTCTTCCTCAAGGTGACCCTCTGGACCAACTTCATTCCACCTCGGCTTCAGCGAAACCTCCTCAATGCTCTTTTACGAGGTTTACCTTTGAAGAACCTGATCTTATGGACAAAGTGTGTCATTGAACCAAGGAAATGAGAAATCGTGATGAAATTTAATGTTATTGTGAAAATAGAGACGTAAAAATTCTTTGGGTGTATCCCGGTGCCCCCATGACCAGAGGGGCCACTTGTGTAAGCAGTGTAAACTCAAAACTCTTGTATAATTTGGCTAAATAATACACTTTACGAATATTTATAAATCATGTTCATTGTCCCTCGTCTCTATGCACTTAAGAACTTGACTTACAAGATGACGTAACAAAATGAACAGGGACTGTAGAGAGTTTGTTCACTCTTGTTCACCTTTACCTGTATTGTTGTGTCAGAATTAATGACAAATGCCCCGAGATATGTGTTCAGTTATTTAAGAGCACATCCCCAGCAGGAGGGAGTGGATGGTGTCTCCGAGGGATTACATATAACCAGTTGGTTCATTTTGTCCGCCACTGCCCTGGCGTCTTTCACTACTAAATAGGCTAAAAACTGGCTTCTTCAATCACAATCCCCCCAAAACTCCGCCGCCCAGCTCTCCTTTAGAAGATTTTTTTATCGAACTGTAAGAAAAAAATTGATTACTGTCGAGAGCTTGGCAGAGATTGAACAAGCCAGAGAACATTCACTGCTGGTCGTCTTCTGCTGCCTTCTGTGTGCAGCTGGTGTTGGAGGACCGGCTGTTTGACTACTGAAGAACCTACTGTCGGCCCTTTCAAGAACCAGCTGTGTGCGGGTGATGACAGTTGGTGTCCACATAACTTGGTGTAGCTTTATATGAAAAGGCAAACGACGGATCTCATTCGCCACTAGTAAGTATTCTTGTACACCGCAGGAAGGCCGTGAGGCTGACAGCGGTGAGGTTGTACCGAAAGGCATGATTTTGATCCCTTTTTTTTCAGTTGAATTTTTTGTATATATTCCCAAAATAGACTTGGTTGTTGTTAGGCTTTTATCTGGAAATTGGTGCCGTTTCCATTCCTGTAAATACTAAAAAAAAAAAACGAAGATTTGTTACTACCAATTTCCAGTACATTATGTTACACTATAATGATTTTTTTAAGTGTCTTTACTACTTTCATTATAATTATCTGATAAGCTGTGGATTTCTTTTATAAATGTGGGGATATTTCTGCCAATATTATGGGCATTTATTATTATTATTACATGACCAAAATCTTGCCTTTTCGCTTTATGTACTGTATATAGCATAGTATAACTGGTGCTCTAAGTCATATATTAAGCAATATTATTTCTCCTGGACACGGTCAAGCTACTCTAACTCTTATAGGTTTTGATATACAGGTATTAATACGTTGCTCCCTTTGCTCAGTATCGTGTTTGTGGAGCAGAGACATAAGTTTAACGTACATTTGATCGCAATTGTAAAAAAAAATGGGCTTTACCGTTTTGAAATTGTTTTTAGAGTTCATATTAGAATTAATAGGAATGGCAATATGTAAATGTGTATGACGTAAAAGAGTCAGCAGTTGCTCTGTCAGTGTCCACGGTCATCAAAGCTATAAGACGTGATAATTATCTATGTGAAAAAATAACTAAATATACTGTATCTAGCCTCTCGGACCCCAAACTTGAAAGTTGATTGGTTGTTCTGGCGATGCTCATTTGTTCCCGCCATAAAAATTGTGACAGTTGATTGGTGGGTTGGGATGCAAACACTTGACGAGAATGGTGAAATGTTTCGCGCCACAATTCCTGATAGCTGATTGGTTTACTTGATGTTTATTTTGTTTACCATGTTAAGCGTCACCAAGCGTCGGGTTCGAAGGCTGGTTCTTGCATAGTAATTAAGGCTCTTTATAAGATTGAATTAAGAGCTTTAATTGCTAGTCTCTGTTTTAGCCCGAGCTGACCTGGCTCTCTGTACGGGGAAACTTCTCTAAACCGAACTTAGTTTTTTAATGAAAGATTTAAATACTTTTGCCTTTTGACGATAAAGTAGGTCAAAGAATTTTTATAATAGTATAAATATATATAAGATTTTTTTATGTTCGGATTATTGAAGTCTTGTCGTATCGTCTAACAGTGTTGCCAGACTTAAAAAAAATATTTCACAGCTCCCTCCATTATATGAGTTAATGTAAATAGAACTTTTGAACAGTAAATTATCCTTATATTATATAGAAGGAGAATCTCACTACTTAATTTTGATAAAATAAAACGAAAATGAAGAAAGAGATGACTTTAAAATTCTGAATTATATTAGAAGAGTTGTTAACTTTTATCTGTTAGTGTGTGATGACGTACTCTGGCAACACTGTGACCCCCTAGTCAGCTATATCAGCAATCAAAATGATCTCCAATAATTTTGCCAGCTGTGTGCAATTATGATCTCCTTGCTGAGTGTCCGCCCCCCTCTCTCACCTCCTACACCCCCCCCCCCTAGCTAAACTACACCCCATAACCTGTTAACTAATACTTGATGATAATTGAGTCTTTAGTTTAATTCTAGATTAATTCTCTCCCATAATTTTTTTGTCTATTATAAAACATCTTACTTGAAGTTTAATTATTTGAAAGTTTTAATGTTAAACCACTTATGATGTTTTAGTCTCTATGGTAAAGTAAACCGTAACTTAAACCTATACAGATAAAGTATTTAATTAATAAGTAAAATATTAAAAAGTTATGAATATCTGATTGGAATATATATTAATTAATTATGATCATTTAGACGCATTTCAGCTTAAAATTTTACCCCGTTGTCACTTTCCATTTAATTAATTTTGTTGTTGTGAGTAGTTAAGCTTGAGGGGTGGAGAGAGAGAGAGAGAGAGGTCAAGGGTTGTTAAGGACCAAAGTCCCTAGAAGTTGTTGTGAGCCTCTTGTTTACTGGACGCATGTTGATATACACCATTATAGTCAAACCCTCTAATTATTTATACACAGTTCTGGTTTTAGTGTGTTAATAAATCAAGCTGTATTTCATATAACTATTAAGAACTAAATTAAATCAGATTATACGTTAGGTATTTTTTTTTGGTAATTAGCGGTGGGTCAGGTGTAAACAACATGGTCTAGAGGTCATTATGGCCTGGCTCGAGGCTCGTCTCCCCCCCTCCCCCCAACACGCCTTTTTTCGTCTTTCAGTAGTTGAGTCCTGACTGTGTCTCTTGTCATGGACTCTGAGAAAAAGTGTAAATAAGTTAGACAGTAGTTATTTTTAAAGGTTTGATTGTGGTTGCCATCTGTCTTCGAATATCTGTCATTAGCTACTAAAATATGTTTGTCATATTTGTCAGAAAGAAAATAGTATTATTCTTGAAATGAAGTCATAATTATGTCTGTAGTGAATGTGT